TATGGCAAAGAGGCGGTTTGCATAGAATAATAGGGCAAAGAGCTCAATGCCGATTGGGCTAGGGTCACCCTTCCGGCCATTGAGAGCGACGATGCTTTCCAGCCCGCCAGCCGTTTCTCCGCGTTCTCCACAATGTCGATGTACGTCGACTTGTTCACCCTGCTATGAATAATAGGCATACCCAAGTACTTACCAAGGTTATCCACAACCCGATAGCCCAAGTGTTGGGCAATGGAGAGACGTTGCTCCTCATCCGTATTAGAAGAGAAAAAGATCTGGGTCTTAGGGCCGCTGACTTTGAGTCCGGATGCGTCGCAAAAGTTACTAAGAATAGACTTCAATCCCTCGGCCTGGCCATGGCTAGCCTCAGCGAACAAAAGCAAGTCATCAGCAAACATGAGGTATGGAACCGAAACCTGCCCTCGCCCGACCGTGACAGGGCGCCACCCTCCACGCGCCACCGAGGCGTCGATCATGTGGGCTAATCTTTCAATGCAAAGAACAAACAGGTAGGGAGAGATCGGGTCACCTTGACGGACACCTCGAGTCGGAGTGAACTCTTCACTAACACCACCATTCCATAACAGCTGCATGGAGGCTGATGAGACACACGCCATAACCGCATCCACAAATATCTTGGGGAACCCGACGAGATCCAGCGACTCACGAATGAAGTCCCACCGGAGATAATCGTATGCTTTTTCTAAGTCCACCTTGACCACCATAACCCCTGTCCTCCCCTTCATCTTGCGCATGGTATGGATAAGCTCTTGGGCAATGACAATGTTGTCAGTGATTTGGCGACCGGGCACAAAACTCACCTGTGCCGGATTAATGACGGATGGAAGCACCAACTTCAGCCTCTCCGCCAACACTTTGGTCATGAGCTTATATACGACATTCAGGAGGCTAATGGGACGGAACTGTTTCAGGGTAATGGGATTGGCCACCTTTGGAATCAAGACAAGTAAGGTTTTGTTGAGACAGGGCGGGACGCGACCCCCCCGCCAGACATCAAGAATTTGGGCACAAACCGAGGGCCCCACATATTGCCATTTTTGCTGAAAAA